ATTTTTATAAAAATGCAGTTTGATAGCATTAATGTGATTTTTTTATCCTCTTGAAGAAGAATAGTGAACTATTTGAAAGTGCTCGAGTTTTGTATCTCGTTTGAAAACCAGGAAATTTGACTGATAGTTTTCTATTTCTTTCCAAATGAAAATACTTGACTTTTTAAGTTGTAATATAAAAGAGTGTAACTTGAAAAACGCTATCATTCTCTCATATGGCTTAAGAAAGCACTGTTCCTTCGAGATATTAACAGAAATGCCCTTAGATGCCTCTTTATAGCTTCATGTATTTTTTTAGGCTCACAATTGTTACATTAGCGAGCTTTGTGTCATGGAGAATTGGCTGAATAATGTTAAACAACTTGCACTGAGACATTAAAATTCAAGAATATATATATATATCTTACTTAGCATGTTTGATAAGGTAGAGCTTTCAAAATAAGACTTAATGGCTGATATTTTAATAAACTTCACATTACTCCAGTTCTGTTACACATTTGTTCATAAGATCCTGTAATTAATTACCACATAAATGGCGAATATGATAAGTTGTTACAGGATCCTTAATGTTGGGCAACTAAAATATATACAGCTTTGAAATATCAATCACTGTTGGCAGCACTGGATCAAAGCTTTAAAATTACAATCATTGTTGGCAGCAATGGATGGCTAGTACATCAAAGCTTTAAAATGACAATAATTGTTGGCAGCACTGGATGACTAGTATATCTAAAGCTTTAAAATATCAATCATTGTTGGCAGCAATGGATGGCTAGTGCATCTAAAGCTTTAAAATATCAGTCAATGTTGGCGGCACTGAATGGATAGTATATCTAAAGCTTTGAAATATCAATCATTGTTGGCAGCACTGGATGACTAGTATATCTAAAGATTTAAAGTATCAGTCAATGTTGGCAGCACTGAATGAATAGTATATCTAGAGCTTTAAAATATCAATCATTTTTGGCAGTACTGGAGAGCTAGTACACTAAAGCTTTAAAGTATCAATCATTGTTGGTGGCACTGAATGGATAGTATATCTAAAGCTTTAAAATATCAGTCAATGTCGGCAGCACTGAATGAATAGCATATCTAAAGCTTTAAAATATCAATCATTTTTGGCAGTACTGGAGAACTAGTACACTAAAGCTTTAAAGTATCATTTTTGGCAGTACTTGATAGTTAGTACCCTAAAGCTTTAAAGTATCATTTTTGGCAGTACTGGATAGCTAGTACCCTAAAGCTTTAAAGTATAATTTTTTGGCAGTACTGGATAGCTAGTACCCTAAAGCTTTAAAGTATCATTTTTGGCAGTACTGGATAGCTAGTACCCTAAAGCTTTAAAGTATCATTTTTTGGCAGTACTTGATAGTTAGTACCCTAAACCTTTAAAGTATCATTTTTTGGCAGTACTTGAT